TATTGTCTCTTGTCCTTGTTCGTAGATCATCTCATCAGGTGAGTTAGTCTACTAGCTATGAACATTTATATATTTGGTTACAGGATTTCATCATGAACTGACATTGGTTAGAGAACCATTGGAAAACCTGGGACTACTGGACAGCCGTTTCGTCCTAGTTTGGGACTCTTCGACAGTACGCACCCACCGGGGTTCGAACCCAGGATCTTCTGGTTGCAAGGCGAGTTCGTATACCATTAAGCCACTGGGACCCGATCCAATGGCCCATGAATTCTAACTTCTGCCAATTCACCACATAGCGCAACCGCTAGCCAATGTCTTCGGCGAGTATTTGTCCTCACACCCGACCTGCTGCACCCTGCTGGTCACTCGTAAAAAGCACTGACCCTATTCCGAGTACTTGTTGTTTTTGCGTAAATTTTAAAAAAATTACCTACTCCTATCCAATTTTGACGTTGTTAAGATACAATGCGAAAATAGGGTAATAATTACTACCACTTGAATGAAGGTAATTGTCTAGAAAATCCGATCCCTTCAACTTGAACCAACTAAGGATAAGTCACTTACAATGTAATCTTTTCGGGATAGTAGCGAATCCACATATCTGTAATGAAATACACTGCATTTGAAAAATCCCGTTGTACATGTTGTAATTATTTTCTTTATTTTAGAGGGGGAAAACGCTGGCTTAGAAGAGTCTGTAAATTCCGCTCAACTAGGACGTGAAACTTTCCGCATTAAAAAAGAAAATCACCAGCTTATTGAAGAAAATAACTTGCTGAAATTAAAAATCGATATCCTCTTAGACATGGTATGGTTTCTGAACTTTTTTTTCTTACAATCATATCACTGATTTATACTTTAAGTTTTATTTTCGCATATAATATGATTTGAGGTAGATTTTCATATGAAAACTGCTTTTCTTTTCTCTCTTTTTTTCACAAGCTTGCTGAAACTACTGCTGAGGTACACTTGCAAGAGAACGAAATTGAGAATCTACGTAATACACTACACAAGAAGCCAAATACAATCCAAGTGTCTTAGATTTAACTTTCATAAAGTCTTGGAAATTGTCGTACACGGATGTGATTAAAAGTTCCTTTTTGTATACTTTATAATGTATGCGATCACGTTTCTTGAAGCATAGTTTTACTAACCTCCTATCAGGATTTTCTGTTTGATTACCTGTTCTGTGAGGGGAAACAGACATATTCTCACTTTTCAGTTTTTAATTATTTCTATCAAATATTGTTTTTGCATAAACAATTACAAATAAAACATATCGCACTAGTGTTTCCTTCTTCAAAAATTTAACTTTTGATGTCACTCCCTCTAATTATCCTCTTCTGTAGTCTTAACTCCTATGTGTCGTGAAGACCGAAGTATTCTGAAAATATTCATGTTTTGGGTTGTTTTTCAGCGTAGTTTTGCGAAACCGTTTTAATAATGTGAATCCTGTGTATTCGCGGAAACATTTTTCAAAGATTAATCTGTTTTGTCTCTGTATTAAAACATACAAATAATAAAACGTTACGAATGCAAATCGTGATTCAGTACATCACGACACGACACATAAGCGTACTAGTTGTCACTAAAATCAGATGTGCTGAAATGGCCGAGTTAAACTTTAAGCACTACTAACTACCAATGGAGTGCGACCGCACCAATGACCTTGAAACACTCACTGAGCATGTTAGTGAAATCCGGCAAGTAATCTTGTGATCATCGATAAAATATGCTTATAGAAGTGGTATCCTGCTAAATGGAATGTCTGGCAAGTTTCAGCCTAGGTTTGGGAAAGATCAAGTTATTCTTTAAGCCAAGAAAAAGTTAGGGTTACGTTAACCTAACAAAGGTGACAGTAGGTTTGGTTCGAGTTAGATTACAGTTAGTTTGGAGATTTTCGCACATTAGGGTTATTTTAAGGAAAAATTAGGGTTATTCTTAGTTTTAGAAGACCTAAATAATTACATGCATAGAATGTGGTTAAATTACTCTTTTGATATAAGAATAGGACTTGTGCACTGTGTTTGGGTATAATTCCATTTTGAGTAAAATTTATTTTGATTAAGTCTCACAGTGTTATACAGTAATATTTGCCGATGACGTTTCGAGCACAATCTACTGCTCAGTAAATACTACTGTATTACACTGTGAAACTTTATCAAAATAAATTTTACCCGCAATGGAATTATGATCTGTTGATACTCCACCCTAAAACTGAGAGCTATTTTTATCACATGTGAGAGGAAGGTATGCTCTGTAACACTTTTCTACAGTCTTTATTTCATAAATATATGTATTCCATACACAAAAATGCCTCCTTCACGTGATTGGTGCGTTCGAGGTCATTCGCTGCTTGGTAGTTAGTGTTGCTCAAAGTTTAACTTTGTCGCTGAAATCACACTTTTCATATTCACACATCTTCAGTGTGCACTGCATGGATGATTGGGAGATTTTTTTCTAACTCAAATAGTTGTATGCATCATTTTCCACTTATTTCTTTCAGCAACCCCTCGGATTTTAACGTGTCCAATATATTATGACGGAGAAAAATAGCGTCAAAAGTGACGCAGACAAACCCAACTACTTAGGTAAGAACGTGTAGTTTCGGACTAACAGTGTTAAGTTCTAGCTTCGTTTGCGGGGTTTTCTGGCTTGTCCTTAATGGCCGGATTTGCATACAGAATATTATCCTTAAAAAAGGTTCACGCGCTACCAGTCACGCAAGTGAGTTGAACTATGAATAAACAAACCTACCTTAATTGATCTATAACATAAAATGTCTTTTTCTAAGTCGCTCAACGACAAAATTTAAATGCTTGAAAGACTTCTTAAACTTCATAAATAATATTAACACAATCAGCCATTTGTAAGATGCAGTTTAAATCACCCCTTTTAAAAGCGTAAAATGTGCGTTAATATACTAAAAATGTCAGTTGAAGCTTAGTGATCTTCGATTATTAATAGAACAAATTAGAGTAACATTTCTAACTATCCCAAAGTCACAGACACCTACGCACGGCCATTGGGTGAGTCACTTTTAGGTATAGTTGGTACAGGAGGGAATTTGTAAACTTCCGAAGCTTCCAACAAATGACGCTTACTGTTGTCACAAACCATGTCTGTCACACGTACTCTGCGTGACTAAAGCTACTGTGCAACACTACTATTCAGTGGGCCTAGCTAACGGATTTGTAAACTGATCGAGAAATCCAGGCACTCTGATTTCTGAAGATTTTCCTTGGCGAAACTATCGTATACGGTAGCTCCAAAATAATTGCATCCACTGTTGTGGCTTCTCGACTCTTTTGTTACACAACGACATTTTATTCCTCTTCCTCCCAAGGTCACCAAGTCATGCAATGAGATTTAATACATTATTTATATTGTTTTAATCTAGAACGAGATAAATTTACTTTAACCGCTGCATATGAAACTTTCCTACAGGCATTTAGTAACAACAAAGGCATAAACGAAACGGGTGTGCATTTGGCTTTTCGTGCCCTTGGTGTAGCAACAGCCATCACAACATCGTCATTTGGTGCATTATCTCTACTCATATGGCTTATTATGAAGCCAAAAGACAAGGAGGATTTCAATAAGCGTCTGCGTGATTTCTTTCCAGAAAAATGGAGAATACAACCCTCAACCAATAACAATGAAATCCGAACCTTTGATGAACTTCACTCATTCTTGATAAATGAATCTGTAAACAAAAGATGACCGCTTGTGGAGAAATTAGCAATTGTGAATTATCAACATCAACAACTAATTTTTCTAATTATGTTATTTTTTGATTGAGTACACAAAATGTTCGTCTTCATTTGTATTCCCCTAAATAGGAAAAAAAATGCACTGCCGCATTACATTTATGCAGTAGTAACTAATCAAACAACACGAGTTGGTGAAAAATGTGACGTCAATGGCTATAAATTATATGGAAAATAAAGTGCTAATTTTACTTCATATGAGGACTACCTACTTTCATTACAGTATGGTCACCAAAACTCGGGGTGCATAAAGTTTAAAAGGGATAGGTGGTAGCTAGAGGAACCGTTAGGAAGGCATCCACCACGTATGATCTTTAATGTAAGACCTGGATAGATGCATCATGTTCTCCGACGGTTCCGATGTGAAATCCTATTTCTCATAAACTCTAGGACACTGTCCTGAGCTTGTTGACGCAAACATAAAAAATAATTGGTACCGTCTGCAACGCCATTTGTGAGCTTGTTCACAGGTTCAGAGACAGTGAATAATCTGAAAGCTGACATAATCATCGCATAAGGCATCAAAACTTGTGTTCCAACAGTAGATCACTCTCTTGTTAGAGCGCTCGCTACCGCTTCGTAGAAATAATTAGACCATATGGCTACCAGGCTCAAGGAATCCTATCGAGTTAGTGGAAATTAAGTACGTGGAGATGCTAGGTACCCGCAGTGATCTGCAAGTTGCCAATTAGCGTCAGAAGTCGGTGACTTATAGGCACATAGGCTGCCACTGAAAGTCCCTTAGGACAAATGATTTCGATATGCCTCAAAATACAGATGTTGTAATCCCCGATATAACACGCTGCGTTGGATAGCGTACTGTAGAATAACTTAATAAACGCTACTCGCAGTATTAGACAGAACAAGGAGCGAATATCGGTGAGGAACGCGAAACCGCTTGTACGTAGAAATAAAATGAGTAGCGTAGGATGAAAAGGGTCTAAACGAATTTTCAGTTGTGGGTGAATCGTTTGTATCCATTCGCCAATGCACTTTGTCCCCATTCCTACTACTCTGAAAAGTCGCGGAAGCAACTAGTATCCATTAAAAGTAGTTGTTAGCATTACTGTAAATGTCAATTTTACCAAACGACCGTAATCTTGAACATTTGCTTCTCATTTCCAGGTAACTGACTTTACCAATGTTCAGCGAGTCCTATCTCTAAATATTTCCATCCCATTTACACAAATATTTTGTATACTTCTCCGGTGAATAATTAAAAGAAGTGAAGCATAAGAGAAATTATTATTATTGAGCTGTACATGAGATAAGAAATGAGTCAAATACAATTAAAAGTTAGGGTTTTTATCTTTGTCAGGTTGCATTGCAGCATATGCACTATAGTCGACATGACTAGCGGAACTAAAACCGAGACCAGCACCCCGTTGTGTGTGAGTTATAGTACGAGACATTTCGTATTCATGCTCTAGGCGCCTGAATAGTTCTGCCTGAGCTTCAGCACGCTTTATAGCTTCAGTTTCATCTGCTTGTAACGTATTTCCGTCCACAGTTTCTTCGGTAGTGTCGTGAATGCCCATTAATTTTCGGAATTTAGCTGCAGCGGCAGAATCACCTTTCCCAGCAATTAAAGATGTGGTTGCCCACAAAGTCTTGCTGTCCTAAATAAAAAATGAAGGTGCTTGATTATTTAGAAACCCAATCATTAATGTAATCTTGAACAAAAACTACCGACATTAATTGCAAAAACTTACAGAGTTTGTGTTATCATTGTCTTTTTTTGACCATAACAATTTACGCTTTTTTTGTTGCTCAGCCAGCTTAACAGCATTAACCGTCGTAGGATTATAGTATTTCGGAAGATTAGCAGCCGCTGCCGCAGCTAATGCTTGGGCTTTAGCCTGCTGCTGTTGATGCTTTTGAATTTTATCCAGAATATCTTGTGCTGTCAGCTTTTGAAGGGTAGTATTTGTGGAGACACCTACAGAACAAATTCCGTACGTTCAATAGAGCAGACAACTGAAAACGGATATCAATGAACCTTTACAAATTACACATAAAAACTGGACATCATAAAGTTCGTACATTCCTAATGCAATCAAAAAAGACCGCTTTTATATTTTCAGTGCATGTCACACGTTTCATTGAATAATAACCGACATGGTATATTCTGGAAGCTTTGAAATGAAGACCTGATTTACACCATAAGGACTAGAATATTATTCGCCTACGCTAAGCGTTTGGATCTGGTCATGTGGCGATTCATAAGTTCCCATTCACAGTAGAACTGTTAATCAATTCTCACACTGTTTGAGGACGACCTATAACACATGGCATATATCAGTGACCTAAGGTTACTACAATTCTCTGTCAGGTAGATTTATTTAGGATAACGGTGATAAAATATTAATAAGTGCATAATTTTTAGGACAACTACTCGCGATCACGTCGATGCATTCATACTTCCACGTTCGCTTCGTATAGTTTTACTTCCCTCTTTCGATATAATATTGCTTAAATCCGAAATTAGTGTTATGTCATTCGTATTAGAATATTTGTTGATTCTATGAACAAAGAATCGGAGATTAAACTGTCTTCACCTACTTATATTACTTTGCGGTCATTAGATGTGTTCAACTTGCTCAAACTAATTATGTGACTATGCAAGTGCATGCATGGCGATGATTAAGTTAATACAGATCACCTAACCTAGCGGGTCCTATTATTTCGCATCTAGCTAAATTCTTGTGTCCTAAAAATGCAACTGCCTTCGCAATGACTACATGAATTTTGATGAAATTCCGTATGAGTCAATGGGTTCCTAAAGCCGACCGAGTTAGTCTTTGAGCAAGCTAGAATGCTTAAACACCATCCTAATTCTAGCCTTACTAAAAAAACCTACGGATTGCTTTAGATGTGGAGTGGTTGTCTTAAGCACTCGACATTCAACAAATGGGTCTACAGTTCGAAACCAGCCCTGTGCAGTGTCACCTCACATGCAGTATGCCTCGTAACCTAATGCACGTAAAATTGAGTCCAGGAAACCGAATGTTCAACAATAAGGCTTCACACATTCAACCTTTACATAGTAGTGTTGTACAGGCTTCAAATTCCTTGGTCATACTATGATATTTGCGCTACTACTAAAGACTCACCAGTATGTAAAGGTCTACGGTGTTAATAATAATATCATATTTATAAAATTCAAAGATGCATTGACAAACAGAGTAGAAATTAGCTCAAAAGTTCAACGGTCTTAGCCACCATACTTTGGGCTGAAGTGAATCATTACGAGACAGCATCCAAATGTATGTAGATGTACGAGGGGGTTATATCAATAATGATTATTGAATATGAAGGATAACTGAGAATGAGTCTTCGACCAGGGATCCTTAAGCAGCCCAGAAGAAACAAGGCAAGTACATTACGCATATACATAGCTTTAGGCATTGTCCAGATTTTTTGATTTTGCTCTTTCCAATCTAATCCCACTCCAGCTTACAGGAAAAAAGGCTGTGCACCACAGGTCTACACCACATTAATTAAAAAGCTTCGAATTTTATTGGTTAACATTTGCTTCATAAGGGACCTCAATATAACTTGCCATGAGACACCACTTTACTTGAACAATTGTACGTAACTATGTTGAGTGAAACTGCTCATAGCTTCAACCCTCGGTTTCCATTTCTTCGGTAATTGTTCCTTTGGAGCTCAAGCAAATTCTTTAATAAGTTGAGTAATCAATACATTGAAAAATCTTGTTCTTTTATCGTCAACCCAATCGTGACTGTAGACCATGTTATGACAGTCTTACATTAGACTGTTGCGAACTGCATGTCAAGTGTACTCGTGTATAGGAAACTGCACTTTGTCAGCGTTTTCATCTGGAAGACCTGTGCCATTTGTGTGCTCTCAGTTAGACAGACCTCCCCTAGTCGCACGTTAGTTTCCGAAAAGTCCTCATCGAGGCCACATACAAGTCTATCCACATCAAAATATGAACAATCACATTGAGGACGTTTGGCTTTATATGTTCCGCGTAGTTTTGTTAGCTGAGATGGCATTAGTATGCACCTCCCTATTTGTCAGTCCATAGTACTGAAACTCATAGGCACAAACTGCAGTCAAAAGGAAAAAATATTAAGCCAGAGATTCTCAAGTCCTGGTGACTGTTCTACATCTCTAAGTGACTTATGTGATTGAAGAATCTCAAAAGTGGGAGTTTAGTGATTTGTTTCAGCAGTTACGTCAACTCACTAACATTCTACTGAGTGAAGCGGAAATATTATTATAAAGATACATACCTTGACTAGGAATCGCAGGCGAGTTAGCTACGTCCGCGACTTTCGTGGTCGAGATGACTGGCGCTGTTGAAGTGACGACGTGGTTTTCTGTTCTGGGCCGAGAATTCTAAAAAAGTGAAACATAATAATTGAGTTAACTAGGGAACGGGTGCAAACTACACTCAACGGATACGATAAGTAGAATGTCTATTTTCAATTACTGAAACCTCATTACTGTATCTTAACATGCGAATGTGAAGCTTTTATTATGCCCTTGAGAATACATCTTTTTCGCAGTACTTTGTCTTATAGTCTAGTTAAATAGAATATGATACTTTATTCTATGAAGTTCCTCATAAACACACCTATAAATCGTGAAGCTACAACACCTACTTTTACAAAAAACTAATACATTTTGAAGACTCAGTCATAAAAACTCTAAAAAGCTTCGTCTTATCATAATGTGAGATTACTTCAAGTGAACAGTTCTATGCAGTTATTACCAATAAAAGTGACTGACTTACAGAATCTTTCGGAATTGTTGTAGAGGCTTGAGTGATTCGTTTACCATCTGGACTACTTCGGTGACGCGACCTGCTGTCGTAACTAGAATCACTGGATGAACTGGAGGTTGACGTTGAACTATGGCGACGGTGCTTGTGGCGATGACGGCTACGACGGTCTCGATAGTGGGAGTCGCGATGATGTTTTTTAGACGAATGTTTATGTTTTGAATGATGAGAACGTTTGCGCTTTGAAGAACTTCTATGGTGTCTGCTTGAACTCCTACGGCTGGATCTACATCAAGGTAAAGTGTAAACACCTGGCATATATAAAAGCGCATAGAATTAATTTCATATTTAGTAGTGACAAAGTGTATGTATGGAAGTATTTATTCATATGGAAAATAACACCCAACTGAAGGTTGCCATCTGAATAAACAAGAGTATATCAACTACACTTTTGATTGCTGCACTGAATATATCAAGTCTTCAGTCTGACAAAATTTGTGGCAACGTGAATGTTTTGCAATTACCAACACATTTAGTTGAAAATCAGACAAAAGTACGCTTTGCGCTGGACAAACGTACCACTGAGATTTGGATAATTAAATTCATTCTAACTGCTTCCCAGACCGTAGTCGTTTGGGTGAAGTTCGGCCAAAACGGTGACAGGGAACGAAAGGAAATCAACATACACCTCCCTATTTCCGAACATATCGTTAATATTAAAGCTATCTTCTACACATATGTAAATTAGACTTTACATCTGTCTGTCTGTTTTCGACATAGAACAAACTTTACATACATGTTTTCATGGAGATCATCGAATTTTTTATGAAGTTATGCAGTGGATTAATCAGCTGATCTGGTAAATACATCATGCGGAGGCAGTTTTCCTTCTACGTAGCACATAATTTTTATAGGTCGACTTTACTTTAAAGGTCGCCGATTACTGATGGTTAATGTTGGAGACTGTTAAAAAAATTACATGTGTAGGTCCCTAAAATCAAACTTTCTACTTCAGGAAACGTAACCTTAATGACAGAAATATCAGATCCCTAAAAACATCGTTTTGACTTACACATATTTAACACTAATTTAGTTTTATGACACCGAGTCCTACTGGCCAACACATCTTAGTCAAAGCCTAGCAAACAAATGCTTGCGGTAGTTTGAGGCTAGAGTGGGTCATTTTTCAAGTTACTTGAATCAAGCCATGTTTGCGTGGACGACGTTTCTCCTTTTTCAACTGACTGCTACAAACATCTTAGCAAAAGACTTCTCTGAAAGTTTACTTATTTTACTTTGACTACACAGGTGATAATCACTTGTCGGGTGCTGCCTTAAAATGCACTGTACTGTAAATTCCGAGTAGGAACGCTTGGAATACGTTTCTTACCTGACAAATTTTAATCCAACTTCGGATTGGATGGTGTCTATATCTCATTTGAATGAGATACGGTGTGGTCTGGTGCGTTTGGCATCCTACTAACCTGAGAAGCACCATCATGGTCAAAATGCTTGAAGACACCACTGTAATAATTAAAATTCATGAGCTGCAGTTTCGCAACACACTGCTGGTCTGATGGTACTAGATCCGAAATAATGTAAGGAATGATGGGAGCCTGTGAATCCACCAGAAAATTGCTTGCTTCTGTTTCGTAAGTATTCAGAGAAACTGACGAACATCTGATTTACTGAGAGTTAACGGCTCAAAATTTCTAATCTCTCCACTTCCTGTTATTTTGAGCAGCCTCACATTTTGGTTTGTATAAAAACAAATCGATTTCAAGAACATGTTTTCAAACCTCAATACTGGTTCTATGTATTGTATTTTACACATTACAAGAATATTTGCGCGGTAATCCATCGCGTCAAAGTGTGAGAGCAATACTAAATGAATGATGGGGGTTTCTGGATTTATGAAATGAACAGTACCACTAAAAACTTGCATTATTTCCAAAAAACAGTCTGAGAATGCAAAAAAGTAGACACTTCGGGAACATACCTAGATGAATGCCTTTTCTTGTGTCGTCTCCTGGAAGAGCTATGTTCCCGACTAGATGAACGACGTTTGCTCTCAACAGAGTAAGAAGCGGGTAGTTTGGATAACACAGGAGAACTTTTATTTGACTTGAGTTTGGGTGAAAGTTCGTGCTTTACTGAAGCCATATTGCGCATTTCATCCTGAGAAAAAAACAATCTTCGGTACAAGTTTATGTGTATCACGCATCTGAGCCTGCATTCAAAAATCATTAAACACTCACTAGTTATATAACTCACCAATTGATTTACTACCAATTTCAGTGATCTTTATGACACCATTAGGCCTCGGCAGGACGGAATTCAGACACCAGTCATCTGAACTGAACATCGAAGGTCCGAACGGCATAGGAGCTGTATTACACTGTGAGCAATGAGTTATAAAAGCAAAGAAGTTGTAATGGACTGCTAAATTTAGCGCAAATACTACAAGTATCGAACGTTTCGAAACTTGTCGGCAATCGGTTCGAATGTTGAAAAAAGAATCCAAATTAAGGACTAAGATTCATATCAGTCTGTTCGTTAATCCATAAGAAGATACCTACCATAGCACAACACCGAAAGCTGATTGGCATCTACTTAACGAACAGACGACTATCTACCAAATGTATCAACACATTAGGAAAGTGAAGAGTATTATTTAGTAGCCGTACTCATCTACAGGTTTATTTGTAACGGCATGAGTTATATAGTCCACGAAATTTTTGCCTATCATCACTGAGTGTGCGTCGGTGGCATAGCGGTTAGGACGCTCGCCGACCATGTACATGGTTCGGGGTTCGGTCCCCGGCCGACGCACTCCTTTACCTCGCTAAGCCAGAAATAATGCTGGTGAAGAGGAAAGGTTGAGCATGAGGCTAGCAACTCATCCTGTAAAAAGTAAACACTGCTACAGAAATTTCAAGCCACTAGCTTGAGGCCCTATGTTCCACTGGGGACGTGAAGGAAAGCAATTATCACTGAGTAATTACATCGTGAATGTTCAAACTCAAATTTAGGCACTAATAAAAGATAAACAAGTATATTCAATGAATGCCCTTCAGCATAGAAAAGCATCCACCATAGACCGGATACCACTGCTGCCCCTATGATACCCGATAAACCCTTCAGTGCCAGTAGAGAAAAGGCGACAGAAAACTGCAACACCTAGTCGCCTATTGCTGGCACCAGAAAAAGGCGTGCCAGGGGTCAAAAACCCTCAACTAAAGTTGCCTATGAACCTGTAGATCAAGTCTCACCCATACAGGTGGATGACAGCGAGCAGGAAGCCAGCGAATTACGTGATATAGTCTCCCGCAGAAAGCAAAATAAAAATCTCATAAAGGTTACACTATCCACGAAGGACGGAAAGACACTTGCACTGCAGAGCAAGAAAGCCAACGTAAACAAACCTGGTCTCTCTGGCAGGTCGTTTATTCTCCACAAAGCGGAAAAATCATTGACTTCAGGTTCCAAGGTCAGGTTTGAACATGATCTTAACCTAGTCTATCTCCCATCAGACAAGTCACTGTCAAAAACAGAATCAGGTGTAATTATACAGAACTTGTATAGAATCAATAGGATGACTATACAGTATATCTGCCAGAACACCTTATCAAAGTCGTACCAAACTCAAAACAAAGCAACTCCCAAACTCTGAAGGGATCAAGTATACACGTCCGTGCCAACTCATGCTTAACACACTGCATCAAAAGGTAGTCTATGGCCCTCGAACCAAGCGAACGGGACCGAAATGGTTAGAAAACCCTTGAGACTGAAGGTTTTCGAGTTGTCAAAGTCCGAAGTTTTATGGTCGTGAAATCTCTGTAGGTAGCCGCAAAAGCATCATACTGAGTTCATAACAATTTGCTACACAAATGCCTGCTGAACAAAAGAACTGAGCTGGGTAATATGATAGACTCCGGAAACACAGACATAATTACCATCACACAGACAGGGCCCAAATCCGATGTTACTGATACCGAAGTTAACCTGACAAACTTTATAGTGCATAGGATGGACTGACTTAGCCGCAAAGGAGGTGGTGTAGTCATCTACCTCAATAAATGCATAACCGTCCGTAGCGCTGAAGCTCTCGCACACGAAAGTGAAACGTGCACACTTCCACGCTGCAGAACTAAATGTATAGGCCAAGACATCATGCCGCGGTCCAAAGTGGAATACAGACGATGACACAGCACTCCTCAACCATGAACCTAGTGCCCTTCAATAGTGAGGATGTGGACTTCATACATCCTCCTTTTTTAGGAAGAAGCGATCACGCTGTGCTCACTTTCAAGTTCACAGGAACAGCATCATGGGCCGAAACCCCACCTCGACCAAACGTTTGGAAAGCTGATATAAATGCTACCGTCTCAGCAGCCAGAGTCCCAAGTAGAAGCCAGACGGAACCAGTTTAAAAAACTTAACGCTCATGTAACTGAACCTTTCATCCCTTGATCTGTCACAAAGGGTCGAAAACATTGCCACCTTGGATACACCGAGAGGTTCGTGAGTTACTCAGAAGAAAACACAAATGCTGTAACCTGTTCACCACATTTGAGACTCTAGAGGCTAAGAAGTCATACAACATCACTAGGAACGAGGCTATTGCAGAAATCCGCCAATCAAGGATGAAGTTCGAAGTACATCTGGTTAAAAATGCAAAGGCACAACCTAAGAAAATTTTTTCATACAGGAACTTCAGGAATAAGGCATCTAATGTGCTCCCAAATCTGACTATTGACAACGGCACAATCGAAGAGGATCAAGAAAAAGCAGAAGCAATGGCAGTCTTCACACAAGAGTCGTTACTCCCCGTAGGATCAGATCTGGCCGCGTCAGAGGAACGCAGGATTAACTCCGTTGATGTTGACGAAGACAGTGTTCAAATGCCTAAATAAACTAGATGCAGGGGAATTGATGGTCCTGAATAATTTTTATCCAAGGCTTCTCAAGGAGCTATCAGCCCATAGAACCGGCTCATTGATCACGATCATCAAGCTATCTCTCTCAAATGGAGTGTTACCACGTGACTGGAGAGACAACATTGCATCCCTCAGCCGCAAAGGGGGATCAAAGCAGAGCCCTCCAAACTAGATGCCTATTAGTCTGACCAGCACTTTAATCAAGAAACTAGAAGGAATCATCAAGAAAAGTATCATGGCATATCTGAAAAAGAAAAATTTGTTATCCGGAGCACAGCATGGATTCCTGGAATCGACTCCCAGAAGAAGTGGTGTCAGCAACCGCATCTGACTAAGCCAAGAAAGGTTTGAACAAGCACAGAAATTCACTAGAAAAGGATTTTCATGGACTTCAAGCCTTTTGCCTCAGTCAACAAATCTGAATATAGCCTTCCAACGCTCATTCTAGACCGATTAGTCCATCCACAATTTTAACTACTTAATGGATGAGTAGATACTTTTATGACTATAGATTAAAGAACAACCTAAAGAAATACTTTCTGACAAGGCATACCATAGCTAAGCACAGTTATTACTTCACAAAATGCACAAAGATCAATTTCTCAACATTGCATAAAGAGAATTACCTTCGTCATTGTTGCTCTTTTGCTGCTTTGCCGTTGATCGTCTATAGTTCCATCATCCGAAGAATGCTTTAATTGTAAAATGAACACATCTCATTGCCAAAACAACACTCACCACTGATGACTCGTAATCACAGAGCATTGGTACAATCGCGCCTTTACCTACTCAGATTCATTTAAACAATATCCTCTCCACTACTTATATTTCAAAAGTGTCACTGGAAATCTTCAATATATTTTTCATAGGTGAAGAATGGCCGTAAAATTAATATTCGGGGAGATCTTGGATGTTGTTATGCATATTTCAATAACTTCACAGAATTATACCAAGAAACTTTCCATTTTCTTTATTTCGAATCTGACAAGGCGAATATTTTAACTGAAATTCTGAGTGAACATATTATTCTGGATGGGACAAAATCCTCTATTACTCGTAAGAAAAGGGGACAATTACATGTCCAAAGAGGAATAGCACTGAATAAAGCTAAACATATTCATTGGTCAAATTCTGTAAAAGGGAAGCAGATGTGTGTTGAATTATTCAGATCTAAAAAGAGCACAAGCAGAGGAATAATACCAACACTCATCAGATCTATCGGATATAAACTCTGTGTGCTTTTACTGAGTAATGAGATGGATTATAGACCAACTCACCAGCTCACTGAGCATATCGAGGGTGAATTAACAAACCCACCTAACTGGGATACTTTCTTTCGAAGGGATTTTTTGAATTAAATGCTACCATACTCCTCTTCACCACATTTACAATGAGATGTTCTCTTGCACAAAAGGTTGGCCCTGATTTGGTTCTGGCTTCCCCGAAGCATTTGGGATTGAGTCATTTCAAGATTGTGGCCATCCATCTAGTAACACTATCTTTATTTGGTATTTCTTTTGTCGTTTTGTCATAAAATCCCTATTTTTAAATATATAACAGTATGCTGGGATCCAGCCTAGTGCAGGTTGGTAAAGAGCTGCTGTATGAAATCATAGTGCTGTCTTTTCTCCCTTAATAACCATTTTTCTATTTCTGGACAATGAGCAGTCAAATAACACATCTTCATATTGGGGCACTACCTGCCTGTCACAAATTCTTTTAAACTGAGCTGTTAAGTCGTTAACCAATAACAAAAGCAAACATCTCCACAACTATACTGAAATTCAATTCATAGTGCTTGCTTACGTTATTCAACACTGGATTTTCCTCTGTATGAATCCACTTTTGATTTTTTTCATAGCGCAATTACAACCCATAATGAAAGAATATGCACTTAACCTCACACTTTGAAAGCCGAAGAAGGATGTTATCGCCGTCACCATCCATAAGTGGAATTTTTGGGTTGCCCCCGTCTTTCGCTCCTTGTCAAGAGGAAGTATGATTCCAGTGTTCAGTAAATTGGGGACTGTCTCCGTTCATCTGGATCGGAACGCTGTCACAAAGTCGCACTTACAACTGTAATTTCTTAACAGTGATCACTAATAATGACCATGATACCATATTCGGCATGCATTCTGTGATGAAAATAGTGTCAGGCGCGAACTAACTTTCTTTCCACTAGAAAATAAAAAAATGTCTTCATCTTTATACCATCAGGCTTTAATCTTATTGTTCTTCTTATATTTACACCCCTCTCATTTTCTTTTTTTGCTTATTTTTCATAGGTGTAAACACCATTTAAGCTCTGTCATAATTGTTATTTTTTGTTTTTATATCCCCACCATGCCTTGTTAGGAGAGCAATAGATTCAAAACTCCATAACATGCTATAATTTCCATACTGTATCAACAGTATTGTTTGAAATGGAGCAACTGTTATCATTATGACTATTATTGTCATTATTCTTATTTTATACTTTGCACATCTGTGGAGTACGTAACCATATGATTGTACACTTTTTGGTTAGATGTTGAAATTAGAAACATTGTACATGACTCTTGTTGAAAACGATTTATGTTTAAATACATATAACTTCCGAGTGCAATTTGAAATACACTATACTGTTGGTAGCTTCGCCTTCTCTCTGGCCATTTCTGTCTACTCACTCTACTCAAACCGTGTTGTATACTTTGGATTTATTGCAGCAACCTATCATCCTCATCCGAAGACAAACCCACAACTGGAACACAGCTTCTATCAGTAGACACGATTCCAACAGACAATGCTTCTGTGGATTATATAAATAATTTATAGCAGTGGACTTAAACAACATATCCAAGTAACCTATTAATTAATATAACTCATTACTGCATTTTGATGATATACTGTTGCATTGTGCTCTCATTGACTTGGATTTTTATTCGCATATTCTTTTTGTTAATGAACTTGCTCTAGACAGTCCCCTACACATCTTTGACGCTATCTCTACTGTAGATGTGGACGAGTTCATGTGGTTAATTTTATTAATATTTTGAATAAACTAGATGAACCATTATGATAAATGCTGAGAATTCTGTACTGTTTTATAAGTACTGTTTTTGGAATAAGACAGATTATTATTTATTCATACACGTAAGAATGCGAGTCTTATAACATGATGTCGTTGTGGAAAAAGTTCTTTGACGACGCGTTACAATCACCACCGATTCATGTAGGATAGTGGTAGAAACAAACTGCGATATCAGTGTCATACAACTTGAAACAGACGGAGATCAACGGAATTTTTTAAAAAGCTAACGGGCAAACAGAACAACTAATGGATGTGCCGCGTACCACTGAAGGTCCTCCTGCAATAATCTTGAATTGAGGAGTGACGTCTTGAGTTAAAAATAGGCAGTGTATAAAGCGTGATCTGAAGGCAGAGGATGCAGCACAAGAATGGCGTCTTACCTCACTGAAGGGTTTTGTAACACTAGTGTTAATGTATGGCATTTCTCCAGTAAACGATCTTGCCACTAAATACCGCTGTTCCACTACTGAGCTGGCGGTTTTTTTTGGACGTGTGGAGTCTTGATCAGAGACCAGAAGATGCGCAAATATGATGATGCCTACCTATCTCTAGTCAGATGACCACCAATGGATTAATGTAAGAGATGATCTCTGGTCTTAATATACTTCGTCATCAAACAGTTTCAAATAACAATCGAAATTCTAATGGTTTCATGTTCTATAAAATTACGAATGACACAAAGCTGAAAAGTAAATGCTCCTAGTGCTTGCAAACACCAAGCTTATAAGGGGTTCTTCGCAATCTAAGAGATTCATTAATTCAAATGAGCTCTTTTATATGAATGATATAATATATTTGTTCCCGTCTATTTAGGAACACACAAATTGTTCATGTATGGATAAGTACTGTTTGAATTAAATAAATTTGGTTTATGGTGAACTTACATGGTTGTTGTTCGTTTTGTCTTTAATTTGTGGGAGCAATCTGTTACCTAGTCGCTCAATGGAGCACATTAAGGAATATAGAAATATTGTCTTCCTACTAACAAAAAACTCAAGTCTGTGTCCTATGGGTTACAAATACCTGGGAAAAAAAGCTTGAAGTCACTTCTGCGCTATAACTTTGCTGTGTACGGCATCAAATATTATTCTTGATTTACAGCTAAATGGTAAGTAAAAATTATTATTATATTTGTACTTAGGAACTTCAACATCAATAAACACTTAATTCACCTGTACTGGTGGAGATTACGGGATACAATTAGATTTTCTAGAAACAAGAGCGTAATTGCTGCACTGTTTTGCACCACCGGGCTACTGATGACCAGACTAAGGGGTCAGCAAGTCGCGTGGCCAAACAGCAGATTTCCGTGATAGATGGTCACGTAGTAATCATGAGCAATTTTCCATCTGAGACCAACAGGTAATGCGACTAATTAGCTTCCTAGACCACTTCATACTATCCTTGTCTTATACATGTGTGGACGATTCCCTGTAAAATGTGTCAACCACTGTACACAAAACAGATAAGATATCACATTTCTGGAGCATTTGCAGGTGCCACAGAAAATTTCCCTTGACTTCCCCTAATGACATCGGGATTTCGGTTGTGGCTGAAACACGAGTTACTTTGGAGGTAATCCGACGTTTGCGTTACCTTGCTCGTGCACTCCGAAAAAATTTCTCCTCCGGCTTTCATAAGTTGAGCTTTTTACCCAGTATTCTGGTTATTATATTTAGCTCTTAATCAACCTTAATCTCGGCAAACGGGTGTGCTTTGGCCATCACAAGTCAAACTTTTGACATTTCGGCTGTAAGCTCATATTTGGATTGTAATGCAGATATCCACTATTTCAGAGTCCGGTGCTGTAATCTAGCGGAGAATTTGATCAAATACTAGATGTTATCACTACTGGGTATTACGTTATGTATTGCAGTCCCCTCTTGAATGTCCTTCTAAGGGACTCCTTAAGTGTTACTGAGAACCTGTCAAATCTTTGTCGTCTTAAATGAAGTATTTCATCATGCCTTTAGATTATAACAATAGAACCCAATCTGTTACTTCCATAAACTCTGGGAAAAATCTAAGGTTATCAACCATTAGTGAGGCTTCGAAAAGTGTTGCCTCCGTTTGATTCTACTCTACCCTCGCACTAGTCAGATTCATTTAACTATGTTGTTACCAACCTTTTTCCGGGACAAAAATAAGAGCTGTTCAAAACGCATGACTGAAATTTGGCAGCCTCTTAAGCAATTATGAATTTAAGGAATAAGACGAATACGCTGCTGGTACTACGCAGTACTTCAGGTTATTTTCTGAATAAGACGTGCGCCTCTCATGTGGGTAGCAAACTAACAGTAATTTCTAAACATGTAACTGAAGAACCTCAGGAAAATCAAAAATGTTTCTGAGACGTCAATATCGCTTATGGCTAATGTGATCAATTTTGTTGCCACAGAAGTTCATTAATGTCAGTCACAAGAAACGAAAGTTGTTATACATAATATACTTGATAATATTTAGTTGGTCAGATTAAAAGACACTCGTCCTAAAACCTTTTCAGTGAGATAAGCGGTACATACTTGTCACTCTCTTATAAAGTCACCCAAGCAAGTGATCTGGGTAGGAAGTTACAACAGCTTCTGGTGTTGAGAACTTATTCTTATGGATTTATGGAACACCTCAGTATACACTAAACTACAAAACAATTAAAACATACTGGCTGAACGTATGGTACTCCAGAATTATATTCTGGATCCACCCTTTTATAAACCAGAAGCAACCCAGAAGGAAAAAACAGCGGAGAATTCCTCCATTTTGTGGTTTGAA